CAGGTGTGTTGGAGCAGGAAAACCTCTAAAACATGCAGGATAGCGGCCCTCGAGGACTGGAGTTTGACACCCCTGAATTAATTCATTCAAACATCTCCTCGATCCTAGCAGAACTTCACTGGCTTCTGGTTCAGTTCAGAATCTGGTTTAAAATCCTGGTCCTCACCTTCAGAGCTCTTCATGGCCAAGCCCCAGAATACATCAAATGTCTCCCCTTACAACCCCAGAAGGGACCTCCACACACAGGATCAACATCTCCTTATGGTTCCCCTCACTCACTTTAAGACCCGTGGTGACCGGTCCTTGTCCTCTGTGGCCCCCAGGCTCTGGAATGAACTCCCTGTTAATCTGCGCTCCCTTAATAACATTGTCTCTTTCAAGAATCTCCTAAATACCTGCTTTTTTACTTAAGCTTTAATGCCAACCTACCTCCACAGTGAATGCTCGCCAACTATGTGTTTTTCTATTATTGAACATCAGGCAGATTTCTCTCTCCCCCATTCTCCATGTTTTGTGTATTATTTGTATATTTTGCTCTGCACTGACCTTGTGTCTGAGTTTCAATTTTAGATTTTAATCTTGATTTGATGTTTCATTACGTTGCTTATGTTTTTATTATGTTTTATTCTGTTTCATTTTATCTTTCCACCATTTTTACTTTGTTAATGATTGTACAGCACCTTGTGAATATACGTCTGTGAAAGGCGCTTTATAAATAAAACTTTACTTACACATAAGGTTGATTTTTTGTTAAGTTGTTAAATTATGTTCAAAAGAGAACCAATAGTTTTTTAACATATTGTGCAAATTTAAAAAAAAAATGGTGCCCTTAGATTTTATCACAATTATGTAACAAATTAAAACAATAATATCAACAAAGAACGACCCTCCAACCAATGTGGCCTCACCTGGTTCCTGTTCAGCTCCTCCTCAGGCAGAACCCACGTCCCTTTATAAAACTCTCTGACTCGGAGCTCCAGKTGCTGGCTCTGCCTCCGCAGCAGCTCATAGTCTGGTGCTGGAGCCGACGGCCTCTTCAGCTCTCCACCAACAGACACCGCCACGTCATCGTCTAGATCATCTTCATCTAACTCCTCCTCTTCCTCTTTCACATCAGCAAAGGAAGCGGGTGAGTGATCGTCACCGTACAAGAACTTGAGTGTTTCCTCTGTGCACCACTCCTTCAGCGTTCTCCTCAGACCTTCCAGAAGGTTGAGTCTCACACAGTGGGGTTTCTTCAGCAGGTGTCGCAGGCCGGCTGCTCCTCTCCTGCTCATGCCCACCTTTGTGATGCTCAGACCTGCTGGGCTGTGGCTGTCTGTACAAGGGTTGTGTTTACTTCCTGGAGCTTTGTCTTCTGTATCTGTGTTAGGAACCACCTTCTCTGACAAACTGCATTCACTTGTCTTTGCTGTGGTTTCGTCCACATGTTGGTGTTCAGGAGTGTCTCGTTCTTCTTGATGAGTATTTAACACGTGGTATTTTCCTTTGTTCACATCTCTTAGTATGTTTTCTTCCTCCGTGCGGTGGATTTGATGGTGTTCAGTTTCTACTGCAAGTCCCTCTCTGCTGCGTGTCGTTCTTCGTTCCAATTTCTCGTCGTGATCTGAGAGTTTCGGAAGGTCGCCCCAGTYGACGTGGGATCTGTCCTGTTGGGAGACCACACTGGAGACAAAGTCCTGCTCCTGTTCCCCGTCGCTGCCGTCGCCTCCTGTGGAGATCCGCAGAGAGTCATGGAGGGTTTCAGATAGAGGGGCCTGAGGGTTCTCAACGTCGTCCTGTTTGAGTGGCCTCTCTGACAGAATCACCTCCTCGCCGGATCTCCCACTGGAACACACACACACACACACACACACACACACACACACAAGTTTGCACAGCTACCCAATTGGGGACATTCCATTGACTTCTGTTACATTTTTATAGCCTAGCCCTGACCACAAACCCTAAAACTAACCTAAACTCAATTCACACCTTGGTCCTAAACCCACCCACTCCCCCCAACCCACCAACGGCATTTAAACCAAATGAGGACTTGACTTTTGTCCCCAAATGCACAAGTTGTCCCCAAAGGTAGGATTTTTGTCTTAAAATTGCCCCCAAAATGTCACCAAAGCCGAACCCCACCCCCCCACACACACACACACATTTACTCTGACTTTCAATGTTTTATTGTAGACAATAAAACTCAAGTTTTGACTCATTTATRTTGATTATACTTTACATCTGCTACAAAATTCCACAAAATGTTGTGTTGAAGGAATTTATCAGGTCATCTTGTGTTGTCTGTTCCCTGTAGTGGTCCCTACAGCATCCTCCTCTGTGACACCAACCCTCCATCCAGTAAGGGTGCAACAATACATCCAACCYCATCCATATATTGATTAATGATTCAATGACGTTGAGGTCAAATGAAAACATCAAACCATATCGGCATCATATGCCTGATGTGAATTGATATCACATAAGCAGTGATATCACATCATATGGATGATAGAACTGTGAACTGAATCAAAATTTAATCGTGACAGAKCTTGTGATAGCGAGAAAATCGTATCATCATCCCAACAAAGTGACATAATAATGCTGGGTGATAATTCAATAATACACCCACCAGCCACTTTATTAGGTACACCTTGCTAGTACCAGGTTGGACCCRCTTTGCCTTCAGAACTACCTTAGTCCTTCAAGGCATAGGTTCAACAAGGTACTGGAAACATTCCTCATTGTGTCTGGTCCATATTGACATGATAGCATCACACAGTTGCTGCAGATTTGTCTGCTGCACATCCATGATGTGAATCTCCTGTTTCACCACATCCCAAAGGTCTACTGGATTGAGATCTGTTGACTGTGTGTGAAAGAATCGAGTCCCCAAACCCTGCCCAGCCATAGTTCAGAATATGGATGGTAACTGTTCATTCTGTGCAGCCCTCAGCTTGCTCCAGGAACCAGYTTACAGACGGGGGTGAGAGGGGGAAAGGTGAGGGGCAGACCCTCAGGCGACGTAAATATCAAGGAAGAATTTAGTCCACAGCTCTTCAAGGCCATGTCGGAGAGCCAAATCTGTAATCTGTAACTCTGAGTGCTGATAGAACGGCAATCCTTCATAAKGGTCAGGAGCCAGGAAATGAAAAGCCACTGACGTTGTTTTGTAGAACACCAGGAGACCACCAAGCCAATCTGTAGAATCCATTGATCAGAATCCAAATATATAACCAGAACAGAGAAGAACAGAGGTCCCACCCTCGACATGTCCTCCCATGGAAGAAAACTTTGTTCCAAAAATTTATTAAGAGACCAGCTAACCAAGTCCATTAAAATAAAAATATCCATAATTTCTGGTTTCAGATGAAAACATTGAGAAGGCTCCGAGCAGCAAAGCAGGGAAGATAAGGGAGGGCAGGAGAGAAGGAAGAAGCATCTTACTCCTCTGAGAGCAGGAGGAAAAAAAATGTGCATAATTTTTGGTTTCGGATGAAAACATTGAGAAGGCTCCGAGCAGCAAAGCAGGGAAGATAAGGGAGGGCAGGAGAGAAGGGAGAAGCATCTTACTCCTCTGAGAGTAGGAGGAAAAAAAATGTGTACATGCCTAAATGCATTGAGTTGCTGCCATGTGATTGGCTGATTCAACATTTGTGTTAATGAGCAGCTGGACAGGTGTACTTAATAAAGTGGCCGGTGAGTGTATATCGCAATAGACACATGTTCAATATCAACAGAAAACATATCTGATATTATATTGATAATTTCATTAAAGGTTGATAACTCTCTGACAAAATAAGCTCAGAACTTTCAGCTAAACAACACCTAATACACTTCATTGTTTATCGCCATAAACAACCATAACTTCTAAGTGTCATGCAAAGAAATGATCATTTTAAAAAGTGATGAAATGTGTCTAAAACGTAGGAACAGATGTGTGTAAAATTAAACTAAAAAGACAGAAAACCTGTCGTGGGTTCATGTGATCTGAAATATAAAATAAAACAGAGTACATACCCATCTCCCTTCTTCAGCAACCTGATTTCAGGAGGGCTGTCAGTGAAAGAGGAAGTTCACATGATATTTAGATCATTTTTACATCCTATAAACATCTGAGTCAGCTTATGGACAGAAGAGAGGAATCCCAGCATACCTTTCATGTTGCCGGAGCCAAAGAGGCGTCTTTGAGATTTGCAGCTCAAACTCTTTAGAGGCTTTGTAGCAGAAGTTACTGCAGAAACACTACAGAAAATGGAAAACATTTCTGGTTTTTATCTTTGTAAAAAAAAAAAAACAAATAAAAAACAATCAAGTCCCAAAGAAGCACTCACCTTGCGCTCTGTGATGTCATACACTCTGTTTGTTTTAGTGGATATTTTGTACTGCTGTGTGGGGATCTACAAGATGAACAGAGTCAAATCTGAGACTTTGAGTTTAGCCACTCAGAAACAAGACAACTYCGGTGAAATATCTCACCTTTAAGAGTTTATTTGGACATATGGGATAACCACAGAGTTTGGAGATGAARCTCTCCTCCACAGCGTCTTTGTAATTAGCTGAAGTGATGAACTTTGCCTGTAAAACACAAAACAGCAAGTTGGAAAGTTAAAAACAGAAAAGCAAACATTTTTTAGGCAGCTGTMATTCTGTTCAGGATCAGCATAAACTGAATAAATGCAGGCTGTTATTTGATTTATGTGTGATATGATTCATTTTTAAAGATCAACTGAGAAATCTCAATAAACAGTTTTAAACATTTTTTCCCCAAAAAGTTGAACATAAGAGTCCTGACAACAAATGTAGGCTCACAACTCTAGAAGAATATTCTCAATAACTTGTTTATTTATTTTGTAGGAAAAAAATGGTAAATGAGGTTAGATTTAAAAGTTGAGGTTTTGTAAAACTAATACCTACTAAATAAAACTTGTGTTCAGTGGTTCAGGTCTGTAAAAACTTTAAGACCTCGTCAGCATATTTAGCCTCGAACAGGTTTTTAAGCTTTGGACATTAGAATTACAAGGTGACAATCATTTATTTTCTTAACTTTTAAAATAAATATTCAAAAGAATTATATCTCTTTTTAAGCATGTTTAAAAAGCATTTCATCATTTGCCAGATGTGTCACATACTGTATAGTAAGTAAATAAGTAAAGTTTTATTTATAAAGCGCCTTTCACAGAAATATATTCACAAGGTGCTGTACAATCATTAACAGTATAAAAATGGTTGAAAGAATAAAACGAAACAGAAAAACAATTAAACATAAGCAACAAAATTACAACATCAGATCAAGAAATTAATTTTGAAAATTGTAAATCAAACACAAGATCAATGCAGGTCAAAATATACAAAAACACACAAAAACATAATGAATGTGGGAGAGAAAATATGGCATAAGTTCAATAATAAAAACACAGATTGGCGAAGCATTCACAATGGAGTTAAGCTGGCAGTAATGTTAAATAATTAGCTAAATGCTTGAGAGAAAAAGAGAGTTTTTAGGAGATTCTTGAAGGAGACAATGTTATCAGTGGAGCGCAGATTAAAAGGGAGTTCATTCCAGAGCCTGGG